AGTAAGATCGACGTGGATAATTTATTAGCGGGTAATTATCGATCGCGGCTTCGATAACGCCGGTTTCAACAACGGTTCCTCTCGGTGACGCAAGACAGCCGAATAACGTTGTTATTGTGCGACGGTGGTCGGCTACTCTTGCGAAACCTTGCGAAAAATCCACAGGCCGAGTGATAAATGCGCGCGAGCCATACGCCGTGACTAATGTTCGCGTTTTGCGCCTCGTCGAGGACATCGGCGAAAATGCGGATGACGTAGTCAGTCGCGGCGAGATCAGACAGAAAAGAGCGCTTGAGAAAGTGGATTTTTTTTTTTTTTTTTAATTTTTAACAAAAGAATTTGCCAGATTTATCGCAGGAAAAGAGGTAAATTTCAATGTGGAGAAAAAATCGCGACAAAATTTGTAGGTATTTAATTAGGACGTGTTACGTAGAAGAGCGTATAATTATGTCTTGATTTAATTAAATTTGTTTCTCTGTTGTATTGAATTCGGAGGAAAGTGATATTTATCATCGTTACAAATTATCAGCATCAATTATTATCAAGATCGTGTTATATTTTTGGATGCATATTTAATTAATGCAAAATAAAATACGGTACGGGTACATCGTAATTATTTGAAACCTCATTCAATTTAAATGTCCAGATCGAGGAAAGAAATATATACATAATAATTAGCATTAATTATCATCGTTATTATAATTAATTTAATATAATTTGTAATTATTTTCTTGGATGTTATATAATTATACTATATATCTTAAACATTTTCATATAATTTAATTAATCATTATTATTATTTCATACAATTTTTTTTCACATTTACGTCGGGATATATTTTTCTTTTCGTCACGTTTTAGGAAAATGGCAAACTACTATTTCCATACTCGCGCACGTTTCCTCGGACTATACTCGTAGCTTGCAAATGACTGCGGTCTTTCTTTCTCTTCCGTCGAGAGAAAAAAAGGCTGTCTGCGAGAATAGATGCATTAATGTTTGAGTGGATTATACAAATGCACGTGTACCTTTGCATTCGTAACGCACGCAACGTCGGAGTTCAGTAGTTAACGACGTGTGAATATTTATGGCACTGTCAGCACTCGTTTCCGTCAGCACCGTTCCTCGATTCGCTCGCGCTGCTTTTATCGAACGACTGAAACTCTCTCTCTCTCTTTCTCTTTTTCTCTTTCTATCTCTTTCTCCCGCCGATTCTACTCGGTGCGCGAATAAAGTCGAATGCATCGCGTCTCATCGGCCGTTGCACCATCACGTATTTTTCGCACCGGCCGTATAAACAATAAGGCGTCACGATTATAATAGACGGACTTAAAATAACGAAGTGTATGTGCTCACCGCGATAAAGCCAGTTTGTTACAATTAAACAACCGAGGAAATTATTGTAATAATGAAATTATTTAAATATATTCTCTAGATTAAAAAATGTGTATGTTGTAGAGAATAATGATATTCTTATCATTCGTTATTATTATACTTGAAATAGAAGGAATTTGGTTGATAAGAATAAAAATTAAATGGGGAAAATAATTTTATTTAATTAATTAGTAATAATTACATTCTTTCTGAAATAAATTTTATTTAATTAATATAAATTTTCGAAGAAGACAATGTTTTTTTAATTTTCGAGGAACCAGAGACGCCTGAGTCAAATATCAGAAACTCTTCAATTCTTCCAAAATATTATTTTATGCAATTAATATCTCGATATTATATACTTCTTGAATGCATATTGAAGTTTTTAATACACTGAAAAAATTGAGTCAATTCTTATAAATATTTATTTCAATACTGTCAAATAAATCATTTATTTGAAACTAATAATATTAATTTGATATGAAATAATAATTTCAAAACAAATGAATATTTATTGTATATAAATAAATAAATAAATAAAATACATATTGTATATAAGTAAATATTATCTATTTCAAGTATTTTATAAGTTCATATACCCGCAAACATATAATAAGTTCATCATAAGCATCACATTTATTCAAAATGTGTTCTTAGTGCTAATAAGTTTGATACTTAAATAAAAAATATTAAATTAAAACAAATATTCTATTTCTTTTTTTATCTGACTTTATAATATTCTTGAGAGAAGAAAATAAATTCTTCTTTCGAACATATGATAAAACGAGTAGGTTATACTCATTTCTAATACTTGTGATGAGTTTAATTTTAATTGCAACTTAAAACGAGGAAAGTAAAATGAATAATTACTTTTCTTCGCAATAAATATAGATATTTTTTCGCGTAAAGATAAATCGAGCAAATATCAGAAACTCCGAGGTAAGAAAGAAAGAAAGAAAGAAGAAAAAAGCGTATAGAGAAGTTGATCTCCGCGATACCGCATCGACGTGTCGGAGACAAAGAGCACGCTTATTAGATATAAATGGTTCCCTACGTGTCTTACGCCCCGGTCTTATCGTTATCGCTCCGTTACTCACGAAGCGAAGCGAAGCGAGGCGAAGCGCGTTGCGAGTATCTCTCGCGAGCTGCGCAGCGGTATCGTTATCCGTTATCGCCGCGCGTTATCAGCCAAGTTGGAGCCTGGTGGCACCGGGTGTGCGACGGGGGTGTCGTTTCTATCGCCGGAAAACTAACGCGAGATATATATACCGCGCCGGCTGGTCTCTCGCCAAGGTCCGCAGTCGAATTCGGTTAAGCGATCCTTCGCGACACCCGACGTAGGAAAAAGTTGTGCGATGAAAATGTTTAAACTATATATTATTATATACAATTGCGTATCATCGCAGGATTTGTCTTTTCGTCTAGCTTTGACGTAAATCTTGATTAAAATAAAACGGTCGAATAATTCCGAAATGAGAGAAGTCTCTTTGACTAAACTGATGTCAGCGATTATTCCTGGGAATAATTTGGTGACTCATCGAGTCTCTCTCTCTCTCTCTCTCTCGAAGGAGGTTTTGACGGAATTGCCTTCTTCCGGCGTGTCTACCCAGTGGGTCAACAATGAAGAAGGCGAGGTGAAGCGACAAGAAAAAAAATGAAAGAGAGAGACAAGAACGACTGTCGAATGTTTGCTTGGTACTTATCATCGTGCCGCAGCAGAATGCAAAGAACGGAAAGAGGGATTGGCAGTGATATGAAGTGAGAAAATCAACTGGTGGAAGGAGAAGACGGAGGGAAAGGTGAAAAGAGTGCGCCTGTGTGTGCATGTGTGTAAGAGAGAGAGAGAGAGAGAGAGAGAGAAAAGAGGAGAAGGAGAGTGATAACAGGTAGCCGTGGGTCTCTGAGCCGTTGGAGAACCAGTGATAGTGCTTGCATCACGAGAGCGAGCATCTCGTCGCGGTATCTTGAGTGTTTTCGGAAAACCTAGGAGGATATTAATGTGAAAAAGTAAGAAATTCGACGCTGAAAAGTGCGATAATAGTACGCGAGTTCTAAAGTAAAAATCGAGGAACGCAAAGTGCGTGTAATTTTTGAATTTCGACAGTAATGTTTTAGGGGTACGATAGGTCAAAGTCTATTCTGCCTTCAAAATTATCAAACTTGATTTTAATGTTTAATGCCAATAATAGATTTAATATTATATCGATCATTTTTAAATTGCAACTTTATTCCAATCGACACATTAATATTTAATATTAGTGTGTATACAAGTGTAATGTTATAATTCTCACTTGCGAAGAGTGCGTCTCGCGGAACGAGAGGCTCGGAGTAGGGAATTCCAAAACGATATAAAGTATTAACAACTCGCGCGTGTACGTAAAATCGCATAATTAAGAGCGGCGAAACCGCTCGAGCCTCCGCACGCGTCAATTAAAACTTGCACGTGGAGATCCTCTAGCACTTGCGGAGAGAAGCAAGTTATAATTAATCCAGGACGCTCCCATCAGAAACGCACGCACGGAAAAGCAGAGAGAACTATAGCGCGTTTACTGTTATAATATAAAAAAAATATTAATCACGCCAATCGGAACAATTTCGATTTTTAATCGCGTTTTAACCCACAAAGATGCAATTTTTTTCCTATATTATGTATACCTATATATAATATTTCGCAAAAACATATTTTATTAAAACAAAACAAAAAATGCGATAATTTTTAGAAATAAAATCTTGAAGTTTGAGATTCGAAATTACATTACTCATTTTGTTTTAGAAAAATTCTTTGCTCATGTCGCGTAGAATCGATGCATTTCCAGACCTCGTATAGATGCGGGCGGATACGATCGATAAGATGATAATCGATAACGTTATGCTGGCGCGGCTTATCGGGCAACGTGAGCGTGATAAGATCTGTGCTCCCTTTTGTACAAAGGGGGAGCGAGAACGAAAGGGAGAGAAAGATCAATAGATAAATATATATATATATATATATATATATATAGAAAGCGGATAATCCTCGCTTCGAATCCTCGAGTCCATTCGCGATGTAGAGGAATATATTTTAATCGCACGTGAGCGACTTCGATCGCGGAGGATCTCCTTCGGGCTGATTGTTCACGTCGCAATACGGCACGCCGCAGCGTGTTAACGATATATCGGACCTCTGAAATTCGTGACGAGCGTGTCCCCGACAAATCGCCGACCATATCGACTCGGCTATTCCGCGGCGAACGATTTAGTCGTTCGCACGTACTCGATATTACCGATTCAATTTGCAATTCGATGTGCGAAGAGTCAGCTCGTAGCATCTACGTGCACGCACCGAGAGGATTTTCTCTTAGAATTTACCCCGAAATTCAGGGTAATTGTGGGACAGTATACGTGGTATTGGAAAAATTTTGTAAGAGTTTCTCTGATTAATATTTACCATAATAAAAAAGATTCATATGTACACGGGAAAATTAATCGAGCATATTTTATATCTTATTGTATGGTAGATATTAATATTTTTATTGTGACAAATTTTTAATCAGAGAAATAAAACTCTTATAAAATTCTTCCAATTCTCTCTATATTGTCCCAAAATTTTCAAGATAAAGATTCTAAGAGAAAATTCTCTCTGTATATAAGATTCGTGACATCGCGGATAAATCGATTTTTGTCTATGAATTAAAAGAAGGAAGTTCTCTAAAGATTAGACCAAGATTAGTTTGATGCGAAAGATTATTCCTTTAGCTTGCTTGACCTTTGAATATTTCCGATATTTCCAACTTCTTCGTTAAGTTTTACCTGACAGATAGTATATTCTCGTCTCTTTTCAGATAAATTTAAAAAAAGAGACAAGACATGCTACTTGTCGGGTAAAACTTACCAAGAGTTGGAACAACCGGCTCTAAATCAGTGCATGATTGAAGAACTCGTTCGTCTTAAGTTTACATTTTTTAAATTATGTCTCATTAGATATAAGTTAACGAAATTAAATTCAGAAGGAGAAAGAGAGAAAAGAACTCGTAATTTTTAAAATCGGACAAAAAGAATTCGAAATTACAGCAGTGTGTGACATTTGGTTGTCCGAAATTGTGTTACGCGGTTCGATTTGCGTTCCGACGTTTATTGTGAAATTTTATTGTAAATTTGACAAGACTGAGGAGTGATCCGTAAATTATGTCGGAAAGTGCGAAAAAGTCGAGCGCTCGTTTACTTTGAGGACTTTTTTTTTCGCACCATGAGCATACTTTTATGGCGTCAACGTAGAGCTGCTCTCTCCTTATCGAGTAAGTAGCTCAGTTTTCTGAATCTTATTATTCTAAATGAAGTAATATTGATATCATCAAGCTTTAATGTAATTAATATAATAACTTTGTTGTATAATTTTTTATTTTTAAGCCTTCAAATTATTTAGTTTTCAAATAAAAAATTATAACACGATGGTTGGAATTTTATCACAATATTTCATCATTAATTTACTTAACAAAAAGCTTGATAATTATTATGTAATTATAATAACAATATTATTACAAGAGTGTTATAATTGCACAAATTAATTACATTACCGGGATATTATAAACAAATTTCGATATTACGATTCGGAATATATCAATTTCGATTTCGTTAAATAAATGGAAAACATATCGCGTAAAACACACTTTGCTTCTCGACATAAATTATACACGATGCATTATAAAATTTTATATATAATATTTCTTACATTTTTCTATGGAGATAATTTTTTTCTCGCGATTCTACGGAGAGATCGAAAACTTGTCGCTCGTTCTCTGTCCTTCTCTCTTCGGAAGAGAAGCAGAAAAGAAAGGGTTTCGATGAACGCGAGTCGCGGCCTCGTAGAGCGCTAATGGGAGGAGTTCATTAAGATCGCACGATTAGAGCGCCTTATCGCGGCTAACCGAGACTCGTTACTTTTGCGTGACGTCACTTCCTCTCTCGTTCGTCCCTCCGTTCTTTTTGATTTTTTGTCGAGTGCGTGCTTTGTTCTTCGAATTTCCGTACCATGGATTTCATTCTTTCCCGATGTCGCAATCCGCGAATTCTCCTGTCACAGGATATATTCGAAGATATTTTTAGATGAGATATCTCTTTTCGTATCGAGGATATCCCAGTATACTTGAAATTTTACCCTCTCTTACATGAATCTGCGGTTGAATTTTTTGAGTAAAAATTTCCGTAAGATATTTTCGTGCATTAAAATTCCACATTAAATGTATCAATTAATATTTGTCTCGATGTTGAAATTTCGCATTTAATCGAGCGAGAAGCCGCGTATAAAAAAAACGATAAAAAACACATGTCGCTCTCGCGAAATGTATGTTCAAGAGAAAGCTGCGACGGACGATTTGTAATATATAATAGATTGATATCTCTATAGTAATACAGAGATTACAATCGAGGGAGCGTGATGCGAGTAGTAGCTTTATCAGGGTCGCGATATTATCTCGAGGACATTTTCGGTGTCGATACTAATCGAGCGATAGAGCGCGATAATCAACCAGACGATGATTAACGGGAAGGGCAAGATGGTCGAACAGATCGTATCGCTTGATCATCGATCGACAGATCACCGATCGTGATGATCGATATTCTTACTGGGAGTCATCACTCTCTCTCTCTCTCTTTCTCTCGGCTGAACTTTGCTTTGCTCTCGCTCGCTCGCGATTATCGATTGTTTGCAAAGGCATTTCGATGTAAACGAAGACGTCTAGAATTTTCAAATGATGCTTTCAAAAGATACTTTCGATAACATTGTAGACCTTTTTTCGACATTTTTTGTGCTCTTGTTATCTTGTCAAGCTTAAAAATATATCTCGTAAATCTGAGGAAATGGAATGTGAATAATGATGAAATTGTTTCTCTAAATGCTCCAATTTTCTATTGACTTAAAAATGCTCAAAAATGACGTTTTGTCAGAAATAACTATATATTCGCAAATTTTATAATATTTATACATTTTATCCAAGTTATACTTTAGTTTGAAACTGTTTTTGCAAGCTATTTGTTAGAGAGAAAAAAGAGAACATTTAACTCTTCCTTCGAGAAGATTAAAAGAGTTTAAAACGATTCAAGAAAATTACTATTTGCCAGATTCTTTGTTTTCATTTTCAATATTCGTTCTCCACACTTTGATCACATCGCTACTCGATAATGCTTCAACGATCGAGAAGCAGGTATCTCGCGAGACTTTTCTTCTTCGGCGAGTAATTTACTCGCATGATCCCGGGACGTCTTAATTAATTCCCCGGTCCGACAGAATCGCGAAGGCTCTCAATCTCCCGATCCCTTCTTTCCGCGCTCGTCCCACGATTTCATAAATAAAGATACGAACGGGATTACGCGAATATAAACCCACTACGCGAGTAGCGAGGGAGCCCGTGGCGATTTCTCGGCAGCCTCCTTTCACCCCCTGTGTAATCTCAATGGCAACGAGAGGCACGAAAGGAACTGTGGTGGATATGTATGTGTACGCGATGCAACCAACACGCACACATGTGTAACCCGATGAAGATTGTCCGATCGATCCATCGATGGTTACATACGTCCATCGGTAACACGCCTCTGCCGATCCCGCCTTGTGAGTCTCGTAAGGGTTCGAAGGACGAAAGGAGAGAGAGAGAGAGAGCCCGAGGGGTCCCTCGTTGCACAATTATCTCATTTGCCGATCGGACCCTCCCACGTGTTAATTTGCTTGTTGGTTAACCCGCCGTTTCTTCTTACCTTATCGTTTATTTCGCTCTCTCGACTTTCGTGGAACCCCTTCTTCCTTTTTTCTGCAAGCTTTGCTCCCTTTTCGTCTCTCCTTTCTTCTCTAATCGCGTCGTCGATCGCTCCGAAATGAATTCGACTGATCGACGTGGCAGAATCTACGATCGCTATAATGTAACGCACCAATTATCCTTTTGCGCGCTAGATAGAAGAAAAGGTAATTTTACTATTTATCGGGATTTTTTACATTATTCTACATTTGTCTCAATCATTTTTTATTAAATTCATTAATTCATATTTTCATCGTCGTGTTATTTCAATGTGTTTGACAAAATTAAAAAGTTTGATTATTTAAATAACTTATTATGTGACATGTTTGCTTCGATTATCGTACATAATGCAGATTGCATAATTGATTTAAACTTTTGTTTTTTTTTTAACTACCGAACCTTCAATTAATTGATTTATATTTAGATATATATTTGGAAAAAAATAATCCTAAAAAGTGAGGGAAAAAATGAATTTCTGGTCTTAAAAAAAAAATCTGAAAAAGTCATGGAATTTTTTTCATCGAAAGATGAGGGAAGAAAAGAAACAGGTCGGGCGTAAAAGGAACGGAAGAAACACAGGAGATTGATAAGGCTGGCCGACCGATAAGGAACACACGGGGCCAAACATTCGCCGTACCGATAAGATCCCGTATCTGCCTGAGAAAGCGTGCTTTTTACGCTCCCTCGACCAACTCCTTCCCTCTCGTTTCCTCTCGTCGAGCTAAAGACGAACTTATGCCCGGACGAGAACAGAGCGCAAGCACCCGGCTGTCCCTCTTCTCGCAGATAGAGATAGCTATTTTTAATGAGCGTTCCTTCGAGAGCTTATGCGCGCAGCTATCCGATAGCCGAGAGCGCGACTATCTACCGGCAGTATATTTTTAATATCGGGAACGACCGCGCGGATCCGAAGGGGGCCCAACACGGGGCCCAACGGGGTCCCGGCAGATAAGTCCCTCTCCACGGCGAATCCATGGCCGCGCCATGGCCGTCTATCTCCTTTCCATACATTTTTCTCCACCTGCACGTTCACGTCCCTCTCCCTCTCGTTGTGTCCCTCTTCGCGGGATATCCCACTCTTGAATGGCGCGATCGTCATCTATTCGCGGGTCTCGTGGATCGCGCTTCCATTCGATTGATGACGAGGGAGATCGAGGAATCGAATAATTTCGAATGGGTCGATGAGGGATCGACATGAAGGAGGAAAGAATCAATTTTATGCAGATGACGTTTTGAAATGTATTTTATCGTTCGATTTAATGTTAGATGAGTTAGTTGAATTATTAACGTAATTATAAGATAGGGGAAACTCTTGTTGAGTCTATTAAAAATAACTCGATGTGTGTAATAATTTTTAAAAGTTGTCGACCTCTCAGAGTCTTGAAAATTCTCTAGGAAATTGAGATCTATCAATCAAGGTAATGGGGGAATGAAGAGGTGAATGAAGAAGAATATATGGTTGGTTTCTCAATATATCGCAGCATCGATAGCTTCAGAGCTTCTGAAAAGAGTTTGCGGTCCAATTAATTCCCATGGAATAATGTATACGAGGGTTACTAATTATATTTCGGGAATAAGAACAAAAACAAATAGTTAAGCTGCGAATATATTTTTAAAGTACTCGCCACGATGATCGATACACTTTTGCATACGCTTGAACCAATTTTCAAAGCATTTATTCCATTCCGAATGAGGTAACATGATTTTGGAACACTTCAATAGCTTCTTCGGGCGATGAAAATCGTTGACCACGTAGTTTATTCTTCACGGATGGGAACAAAAAGAAATCATTGGATCATTATCATTGTCATGATAAAGAACCATCCGGCGTGTCTTGTTTGTTTTCCTTATTTCACCGAAGACTTCTAAAAAACAGATGGTTGTGTACCACTCAGAATTTACTGTTCTACGATCCTCTAAAGGCACCGTTGCAATATGACCAGTTTTTTCGAAGAAACAGGCCACCATTTTCTTCGAAGTGTTTCGTGCGCGAACAACTTTTGTCGGATTTGGTTCATCTTGGAACACCCATACAGTCGACTGCTGCTTACTTTCGGGCTCATACGAATATATGATTCGTCACCTGTCACGATTTTATAAACGTCTTTTGAAGCACCGCGATTGTATTTCTTAAGCATTTCTTTGCATCAATCGACACGAGCCTTTTTTTGAGCGATTGTCAAATTATGTGGGATCCAACGCGAACATAACTTTCTTTATATGCTGGTGGAACTAATGCTTAGGGATGTCTCAATCTCACAATAGGTTACATGACCACGATTGAATTCACTATACCAGCGATACACGGTGGTTTTTGATAGAGCTTCATCGCCAAAAGTCAAATTAAGTTGATCGATGCACTCTTGTTGTGATAATTCACGTCGAAAGTCGTAAAAAATCATCGCACGAAAATGTTCACGATTCAGTTCCGTCTTTTGCCGAGAAACTTTCAACTAAATATAAAATAAACAAATAGCGTCCGTATGACAAAATGTTCTGAGTACGTATAT